AGCCACGCAGATCTCTGTACTGGCATGAGGCACTCCTGAAAGGCACAAGCTGTGTCTCACTCCCCTTGTACTGTTTAAAACACCCAGCTGTGATGAGTTCAAGAAATGAAGCAACAAGCCCCCCTGCCCCCTGCACATTCAGCTGTGACAGACACTGACCTTGCAGGCTGCAAAACCAGCAAAGCAGAGCATGCACGCCTTCCCTTCAGGCAGACCTACCTGGGTGGAACCACGATCTGCTCTTGTTATTTGTGGAGGAAAACTATTAGTAGTCAGAGGAAGAGGTTTGCCTGGCCTTAGAAAGGTCTTTCTAGCCTAATAACTCTCTGTGGGTATTTGGATAATGTTCAAGAAGATAGATACATCCAATAATTCCAAACTAGAGAAATAATTTTTAAAAACAATAGTTGGGAATACAGTGTGAAAAACATACGCCTGCGATTTAAATGATTTTGAACAGAAATGCAAACAAATGGAGTTACCAGACAATTAAATTAAAACTATCCGACCAGTGTGCTTTTGAATTTCTGCCTAATGTTAATGAAACAATGCTTAGAAAACCAACATAACTCTTGCAGATGCTCACTGAGAATGGGATAAGATCCTCAGAAATAGAAGCGCACAGTGGCTGGACATGAAAGGGAGACTCACCAGGAGAATATGCAAATGTGCTTGAGGCTGGGGAAAATCAGAGAAAAGGCAAAGAAAGGGCCAAGGGAAATGTACACAGTCCAGATCTTCTTCTCAAGGCTTCTAGACAAATCTCAGATGAGCACAACCCCAGTTAGCTTTTGCCCCGCCCTACCGTGTATATCACCACAGGATGTGCAACAAAAGCAGCTGGAAAGAAGAACAGAGCAACTAGATTGCAAACTGCCTCCCAGAGTGCCTCTAAAATGTCTGCATGGTGAAACAGGTTAGCTAAGCCGCCCTCCAGTGATAACCATGATCTGCACATTGCTTGGTCCATAGTAAAATCCCAATACATTAGGATAGAATAAAGCATCCTCGAAAAATGAATCTACAGAGTTACAAGTTTTAGACAGAGGGAAGGAGCCAAGCTAACGACAAGGAACTAAATTTTCCCCTTTGACTCCATGAAGATGATTGTGCTGGTGGCAAGTTCATGCTGGTGGGAAGACCATTTAAACTAGAGCAGTGCACTGTACCTGAAAGAAGCTCCCTCTCTGATTGACATGCTTCCTTCAGAGACCACTGAAAATCGATCTGCCAAACTTCCAACGGCTTGGTGAGGTTTTTCTCAACTTTCCAAACGATGAGAATCAGTCAACGTCCATACAGAAATATTTTTACCAGGAAACAGTTTTTGTCGTTGTTTTGTTTGTTATCTTTTTTTCTTTTTCTTTTTTTTTTGAGATGGAGTTTCACTCTTGTCACCCAGGCTGGAACACAATAGCACAATCTCGGCTCACTGCAACCTCCACCTCCCAGGTTCAAGTGATTCTCCTGTCTCAGCCTCCCGAGTAGCTGGGATTACTGGCACCTGCCACCACACCCGGCTAATTTTTGTATTTTTAGTAGAGATGGGGTTTCACCATGTTGACCAGGCTGGTCTTGAACTCCTGACCTCAGGTGATCCTCCTGCCTTTGCCTCCCAAAGTGCTGGGATTACAGGCTTGAGCTACCATGCCTGGCCTGTTTCGTTTTGTTTTACAGTCAAGTCTGTTCATATTGGTTTATTTGCAACCCACCTCTTTGAAGACAGCAAATAGGAGTACTGGCTGCCCTCTCCAATGGGCAAGTGAATTCAGTATAAAGATCAAGAAAATGCCAAATACATGTAACTTAATTTTCCTTGAAAACCAGAAATGCTGGCATGAGAATGAGTTTTTAAATCTAGGGTTTTTAAAAACAACAGTGTGTGGGAAAATAGCGCACTACCCCGACAATCACTGAGCACCACTGTGTTGCTCAATTGTTTATGGGTAAGCTTGCTTGTTTATTTTGAGATATCATGGGATAGTGTGAGGTGAACGTTCTCCATTGTTAAATCAAAAGCCAACCATGGCAGCAATGTTGCAGAAGCTTCTCAGAGGGTTCGCTGGACCAAGAGCTTCTATGGTATGTGCTTTTAAAATACATCTGCAAATTCTTCGAAACTGCTCCCATCAAGAAATGTAGTCTAGTTTTCCTTCCCTTGAATATGAGTCAGATTTAATGACCTGGTTCCAATGAGAAATACAAGGTTGGAAATGACATGATGTGACTACTGAGTTTGTTTATGAAAAAGGATGCAGCATCTCTCTAGCACTCTCTTGAAATGCTCACCCTTGAAATGCAGGTGCCATGTGATGAGGAGGCCAAGGAGTAGAGGGGCTGTGGGTGTTCCAGCTGACAGCGCCAGCTGAAGTCTCAGCCAACAAGCACAAGCAGCTTCAGTCAGGTGATCTTTCTCTTTCTTTTCTTTTCTTTTCTTTTCTTTTCTTTTCTTTTCTTTTCTTTTCTTCTCTTCTCTTCTCTTCTCTTCTCTTCTCTCTTCTCTTCTCTTTCCTTCCTTCCTTCCTTCCTTCCTTCCTTCCTTCCTTCCTTCCTTCCTTCTTTCTCTTTTTTTTTTTTTTTTTTTTTTGAGACAGAGTCTTGCTCTGTTGCCCAGGCTGGAGTGCAGTGGCACAATCTCATCTCACTGCAACCTCCATCTCCCAGGTTCAAGCAATTGTCCTGCCTCAGGCTCCCGAGTGGCTGGGATTATAGGCATGTGCGCACCACACCCAGCTAATTTTTTTGTATTTTTAGTAGAGACGGGGTTTCACCATGTTGGACAGGCTGTTCTCGAACTCCTGACCTCAGGTTATCCACCCACCTCAGGTGATCCACCCGCCTCGGCCTCCCAAAGTACTGGGATACAGGTGTGAGACACCACACCTAGCCTGATTTTCTATATATGACTTCAACCATGTGTTGAGGACTCTAGACACTATGTGACTGCTCAGCCACCATATACCTGTTACCACACAAGAGACCCTAAGTGAAAATCATCTAACCAAGGCCAATCAACTCCTAGAACCATGAGAAATAATAATAATCTATAAGTTGTTGCCTTAAGACAGAGGTCTGCAAACTATGGCCTATGGGTAAAATCTGGCCTACAACCTGGGTGTATGTTATCGTATAGCCCATGAGCTAAGTAACTATGGCTTGGTACATTTTTAAAGGATTATAAAACAAAACAAAATGAAGAAAAACATGCAAAAAAGATCATATGTGGCCCTCAAAGCCTAAAATATCTATTCTCTGGCCTTTTAAAGAAAAAATTTGCCCACTGCTATCTTAAACCACTAGACTTTCAGATGCTTTGTTATACAGCAACAGGCAAGTGGAACATGTAGTGCCTTTGGGACACAAGGAGAAGAACTGAGGGGCAAATGTTGAATTGATAGTGTCATGAAAGTCACACTGAAAAGTTATACCCAACTGTCATCTGCAAGTCAATATTATTCTATCAATAATTGCTATCATACTCTCTCTCTCTCTCTCCATATATATATACATATATATTTCTAAATATATATATATATTTACAGACAGGGTTCCCCCAGGCTGATCTCAAACTCCTGGGCTTAAGTGATCTCCCCCACATCAGGCTCCTGAGTAGCTGGGACTATAGGCATGCACCACCATGCCCAGCCATTACTAAAATTTCACAAACACACTTGCTCAGTCAAAGTAAAAGTGATGGTAATGATTTATCAACCAAGGAAAATATCTGAGACATTTATCTTAGATTTGATTCCAGTTTAACTTCAAATTCTGAGATATTCATTAATAAGTTTAATTATAGCAGGTAGCATTTACTGATTCTTTACTGAGCACCAGACATTGTTCTAAACTATATAAACTAGGTAAGCCTCATGCCGACCCTTATTTCCATTTTACATATGAGAAAACTGAGGCACGGAGAGGTAGTCTAACCTGTTCAAGATCACAAAGGTCGTAAGTGTGGAGTCAGGATTTAAATCCAGGATGGACTCTTGCATGTAGCAACTTAACCACTACACTCCGTTGCTTTTCTCCAGAAAATGCCTAATACACATGGGTCTAAAGAATGCAGCTGGCTTCCAGGGGATGGCATTGACCTCTCTGGCTGGATTTCCCTGGGTGCTAGCCAAGAGTGCTGTCTATATACTTAAGAATGAGGCCTGGAACTTGAGTCTCCATCCATTTCCCCTGGATCTAGGCTCTTCAATAGCACTAAGTCTTCTGTTTGGAGGATCCCAAGTTCCCAGACTAGCCCCAAATCATGGTCGGTTAAAAGCTGTTCCTTCCAAGCTGTCTAAGTCTTTCCTGCATGTTATTCTGGTTTCTGTCAATCAACACATGGAACATTATGTTTCCCAAGGAAATGATTGTCACGGGAGATGCAATATATGCTTTTCATTGCCAGTCTGTGGCTAAACAAAATCAACAGACTGATCGAGAGCCAATCATATCGAAAGGATACTCAAACCATTATTAGAATCAGTGGTCATGGAGAACGAAATAAACAAGTATCAGTTTTCCTTATCTGGGAAGTGGAAGTGATAATACCCATTCTTATGAGTTATTGTGTAGACTAGAGCCAAGATATGGAAAGGACCTAATCCAGTGTCTGGCATTCAAGTAATGGCTGTAATTATTGTAACACAGAACATGCCTCTCTTTTAGAGAACTGGTAATTGGGCAGTGACTTTTCACTGAGTGACTGGAAAAGCTGTTAATCACAAAGAAAGCTCTACATTCACGAAACAAGACAGAGTAAGAGCTGCTGCTTGCCCATCGGGTCACACATTTTCCATCTCCCATTACAATAAGCCTTTTCCACACTGTAGAGTGTTGTTTTAATTATTTATAAAAATGACTCCATCACATTCTTTTCTCCAATTGTGCTTGACACAAATAACTGGAGACCCGTGTATGGAAATGGCAATGCCCTGATGGTAATCATGTGCTGAGGCCACCTCTGCACACTGACCAAAGGCAGGGCACATCACCAGTCTACTCACCAGAAAGGAAAAATAATGAGACGACTGATGAAAAATATGGCAGAGAAGATGAAAAACAGGGTGTTACAGGTCTGTGTCCATCCAGCATAAGAAAACATCTTAGCAGACTGTGAACAAAGAAAGAAACTGCAGATAAAGTGACAGTAGCATACATTTTTAAAGTTAAATTTATAAATGAAACGATATGAGGTCTTCGATTTGTTTCAAAACAATCTGGGTGGAAAGTAGGGGGTATAGGTGGGGCAATAGATTAAACAAGACTGGTCATATTGATAACTGGTAAAGCTGATGGGTCCATTATATGATTCCCTTTATCTTGTCATATGTTTGACATTTTCCATAATATAATTTTCTAAAAAATATATTAAAATACCTGTAATACTACTCGTGTCTTTCAAAAACACTTTAAGTTGGCATAATCAATTTTAGCATGCACTTCATATGGGCATTTATTTAGTATCTCCATGTAACTGGGAGGAGAGCTGGACTGAAGAAAGGCTGGGACAGGTGGGAAATCCGGGGCTGGGCTGGGAATGCTGCAATCAAGGAGGCTACTTCAAGGCAGATGAGGGAAGAGGCAAAGTTGGGAGGCAGCTCTCAGGGCCCTGAACTCATTGAAATAAAGTTTCGAGCATTTGATCTTTCCTAATTCTTTCATGCTAGTCTATACTGCTCATATTATCTGTGTTGAATAGAAAGAGCTGCAGAAAGGGTTGGTGAGTGTGGTAGAAGACAGTTTATTGATAAGCGCTCTCTAGTGCATTATCCAGCAGTGTCCAAGGCTGAAGATGGAAGTTTCTGGTGGGAATAGGGAGTGGGAGTCCAGAAGCAGGAGGTGGGAGGAGTTGCTGGGGCACAGATCATTCTTCTAGGGAACGTGGCTTAGACTTGGGCAGTTTCAGAACCAACTTCACCCCAGAGGCTCAAGGTCCTTCCAGAGCAAGAGAGGTAACACATTTACATTCCAGGAAGGGTTCACATGGCATCTTTCATATTTTGCCAAACTACCAAGGGGTGAGAATATGCCCTGACTGTGGGGTTGGCAGAGGGCCCCAGGGAACAGCTTCAGTTGCTGACAGAGAGGCTGGTGTGCCTGGTGGGTGGGAGACGGGTGTGGGGAGAAAGGTCCAAATTCAGAGTGCCTGTAACAGAGTGGGAAGCTGGTGGAAGGGTCAGAGGCTAACTGGATGGGAAGCGAGGGATGTGCACAGGCATGGGAAAGGATCCCTGTGAGTCCATTTGTGAGGGCAAAGTAGCACGCTTTTGGGCAAAACACACACAGAACATATTCTGGATTGTGTAATGATGAAATGATAGACAGCAGCCCCTTTGCTTGCTAAGTATCAATCAGGATATTAGGTCCTGGATCCAAACTTGACCATGTAGAAATGTAGAGGATCAGGAAGACGCATGAAGGAGGCAAAAAAGGTCACTTACAAGTGAGAATGGTAGATGTGAAGGCTGTTTTTCCTCCAAAAGAAAGAGTTCAGAAATGACCCCAGTGTCTTGAGAAATATGAAAGATGAATAGGCACCATCTCAAAGAAGCCAGGGGCAAAAGTTCTGCCATGTCTGGGTTCAGTTAGAACTTGATAGAGAAAACAAACCCTAAAACACACTATTTGAGTAAGCCGTGGGCTGTGCACCCTGGGAGAACATCACAAATAGGCCCCTGCCACCACTTAATATTTTGTCTACCACCAGCTGATGAGAGGTACCAGCCTTGCTCATTGAACCTCATGTCAGATCATGACTTGTGAATGAATCGAGAATGATTCGCAATCATTAGCAACATGAAGCTATTCTTAAAGTTTGCCCATGAGAGAACCTCTAAGATTGGACAGTTCATTTTTCTTTCTCTTTTTCTTTTTTTTTTTTAACCTAAGGACCTCAGAACGTTTTCAGATAATAATGAGCTAAACTTCATCACATACCCCAAGGAACAGATAAGATTTCTCATGTTACAGCTGGGGCTAGAAAACAAAACAATAAGTGATTTGTCCAAGTCACTTAGGGAATCATGTCACATCAATGAAAGGGTGGTGAGGGTGGCAGGGCAACCCCATGTTTATTCCCAGGGTGAACGTCTCCCTTTAATAACACAATGAAGCTGTTTTTACACTGGACACACACCAAAGGCAATTGAATATGAGGGTTTAGAAGCAATAGAGTAGTAAAAAATTCTTAAGTCAGGGCCAATGTGGTCTTAATTTTCTGTCAGGATTACCGAGATACGATCAGAGAAAGAGGTAATTACATCAGCAAGGGCTGCATCCAGAAAGCACCATGGAGAAAAAATAGTATAGTCCTTCTCCTGCTAACCCATTTGTTGCCCTAAAGCACATATAATAATCTTGACCTTTAGAATGGGATTTACATGTCTAATTATGATTACATACAGGGTAGAAAAAAATTCTGTACACAGGGGATATTTTAACAGTGGCCAGTTGCTTTGAAATGGCTGCAAATGACTTCTGGTGACTTCTACAACAGGGTGTGGTAAATTACATCCAGCCCATGGGCTAAAGCCGATCAGCTCTTAAGAATGGTTTTCACATTTTTAAAAAGGTATTAAAAAAGCAAAAAACAAAGAAGAATATGTAACAGAGATCATATGCGGCCCACAAAACTAAATTTACTATCTGGCCCTTTGCCAAGAAGTTTGCTAAACCCCAACCTAGAAGAATAAGATTCTACTAAATTTAATTTCTTCCATATCAACCTATATTCAATTGTTAGCCCTTCAAGAAGTAACCCCAAATGTGAAATGGTTAGCATCATTTCCCATGGATTCATTATAAATGAGTACATTGAAATAAATAACTCAGCAGTTCTGGGAACTGTTGCTCTAAATACAGCAGGAGATCTGGCAGAGAAGGGGACCATTCCATCACTGACTGGGGTCAACAGGAATCAAAACAGAACAGAAACAGGTCCAGAAAACAATCCCAATGTGACTTCGTTTCTTCTATTTTGTGTGGGGTGAGATTAGGAAGGCTCTTGTTTTAATGTTGGCTCCTTCAGAAAACATCCTAAGCCCTCTTCCTCCCTTAGAAAATGCGGGCCTTAAAAAAAAATCATCTTACACTCCTTAAAGCAAGGGATTGGGCTGGGGGAGGGGAGGGGAGGGCAGCGTGAACATTCAATGGGTATTCAAGCATTGCCCTAAGTGAATAGATGGTGCCACCCAAATCTGGGAATCCTCAATGTCATAAATCCAAGTTTTCCTTTTAGAAGATTAGAGTTCATTCCTTCTTCAAATATCCCATCTTACTCCCTGAGTGAGCATGTGCATGCAACTTTCAGGAGTGGAATCACACACATTAACATCTCTCTAGTACCATGGAGAAGGATTGAAAGTTAAAACTAAGAGGTTTCATTTCTGTAATCTTGGAGGATCTGGGAATCTAGAGATAGGGTCTCTATCTGTCCGGTGTTTTCCGGACAGAGAGCCCTGCTAAATCGCTCACAATTACTTCTGTGAGCAGTTACAGAAACCCAGGATGTGGTATTGTCATTAGGTTTTTAATGGCAAACACTTACCTCCAGCCAAATGTCAGCCACATCATGTACAATCATCACAAGGGTCCCACTGCGAATATAATTAGCACACCAAGAGAAGCTCATCAGACTAATAGCAGCCAGGTGGTGGATGATATGAGCTAGAAAATCCTACAAGGTGAGGGAAAATGGAAACCATTAAGCAAATGCATTTATTTCCCAATCACTGGAAGAGAATAATAATAATAATAATAATAATAATAATAATGAGATCAATAACTTACATCTGCACGCTTTGAAATTTATAAAATGCTTTTATTTTATTCTTAAACATAATCCTTGTGAGAGAGCTAAGACAAGTATTATTCTTGTTGATGGAAGTCAGTTAACTTTGAGATACCATCCCACACTGGATATATGTATATACACACACTGCCCCCCAACACACAATAAATGCATATACACACAAGCATATTCCTGTGTACACCTAGTTATTGTTTATCCCCTGCCTATTCCCCAAAAAGAAAAAAAGATTGATATAATAAATCTACACGACCATTAAATAAGTCAGTGCATATGAAATAAGACAATCTAGCTTCAGGAAAGCTACTGCCACTAAGGTTTTCTGCAAAGAGAATATACAAATGGTCAATTCACACGTGAAAGCATGCTCAGTCATTAGTCATCAGGAGAATACAAACCAAAACCACAATGAGATATACTTCACACCCACTAGGATGGCTATAATAAAAAAGATGAACAATAACAAGTGTTGGCAAGGATGTGGAGAAACTGGAACTCTAATACAGTGCTGGTAGGAATGCAAAATGGTGTAGCTGCTTTGTTAAACAGACTGACAGTTTCTCAAAAGATTAGACATGGAATTACCATATGGCCCAGCAATTCCAGTCTTAGGTGGAATGAAAACATATGTTCATGCAAAAACTTGTGTATGAATATCCACAGCATTACTCATAATAGCCAAATGGAGGAAACAACCCAAATGTCCATCAACTGATAAGAGGATAAATAAAATGCATCCATCTGTACAATGGACTACTACTTAGCAATAAAAAGTAACGAGGTACTGATATGTGCCATAACATAGATGAACCTGGAAAACATTACACTAAGTGAAACAAGGCAAACACAAAAGACAAGGTATTATATAATTCCATTTATATAAAATATCCAGAAGAGGCACGTCTATAGAGACAAAGGAGATTTGTGGTTGCTAGGAGCTGGGGAGGTTGAGAGAAATGGGGAGTGACTGCTAAATGGTATAGGGTTTCTTCTTGGGATGATGTAAGTGTTCTAAAATTGACTGTGATGATGATTGCACAACTCTGAATATATTTTTAAAACCACTGAATGTATACTTTAAATGGCTTAATTGTGTTATATGTGGATATCTCAATAAAGATGTTTAAAAAACTTAAAGATTTCAGCTTCCTCTTAGCCAAAGTAAATACAATACCAATATAGCTGAATTTATTGAGCACTTGCTGTATAGCAGCAAGTGTCTTTTTTTTTAATTTTTATTAATTTTTTTTTGAGATGAAGTCTCGTTCTGTCACCAGACTGGAGTACAGTGGTGCGATCTTGGCTCACTGCAACCTCCACCTCTCAGGTTCAAGCAATTCTCCTGCCTCAGCCTCCTGAGTAGCTAGGACTACAGGCATGTGCCACCACACCCAGCTAATTTTTGTATTTTCAGAAGAGATAGGATTTCACCATGTTGGCCAGGATGGTCTCAATCTCTTGACTTCATGATCCACCTACCTCAGCCTCCCAAAGTGCTGGGATCACAGGCGTGAGCCTCTGCACCCAGCCTCAGGAAGTATTTTATACAGATTAAACTGTTTAATTCCTACAGTAACCAGAGGAGATAGGAACTATTTTTAGCTCCATTTTATAGATGAGGAAATCAAGTTTAGAGAGTTTAACCAACTAACTCAGATGTTGGTGCGTGGTGAAGCCAGGAATTCAAACCCAGGAGACCTGACTCCAGGGCCTGTGCTTTAGCTACCTCCCAATAGCTTTATGTTTCTGAAGATACATCTTTATAAGACACATAACATATATTTATATTTAATTTTTAAGAAGGTGTTCAATGCACATGTAAATAATAAAAGGGAAGTCAACTACAGCAAAATCAAAGGTGGGTGAAATACGTGATCAACCTACCTGTATATAAAGACTTTCTAAAAAATGATTATTTTCAATTCTATCCCTTGAGAAAATGACTCAATCAATTAAATTTTGATGTATTCCTAGCCTAAAGTTAGTATAGTTAATCTACAGCTATTACTGAGTTATATGGAAATGGAGATTATTTCTATCAGATATTTTCACAGTACGTTCTTATACTTAGATTTCTCATGTCTTAAGACATCTGGTTGACTGCAGTGTGTCCCTTATAATGTCCACCATCACTCAACACAAACATTTAATCAAGCTGAACTGGTTTATCCAATATTTAATGTCATTGTACTTATCATACAAATTCTGCTACAAACCAGCCTTTTAATTACGGTGTAGTTTATGAGGTATATGCCAAGAGAATTTATCATTTGATCTGAATTGCTTACATATATGACAAAATCTTATAAGTGCATTCAGGATTTAACATGGTTTGCTGGATTAGTAATTAGGAATCTGTAACAACCAAACCACTCCTAAAATACCTCACTTTGTGACCTCGGAAGTGGCATTTAGCATGCCTGTCACTGAGTGTCCCTGCAAATAAAGCAAAGCTAATAATGCCTGAAGCAAGGTTTCCTCATAAATATATTTGATGAATTAAGGGGAAAATATTTTCAATGTCTTTGAAAACATCAAAAAGTTGTATATAAGGTGGTTTTGCAATCAACTAAAAGATGTGGTTGCAGAATTAATACTAGTAACATATTTCTTCTTTGCACTGATGGACATTAAATTCCCAAACCAAAAGAAACAGATGCATAAAGGAGATATTTTTTCTTATTGAACAGAGGTGGAGCTTCAAAGTTAAAGTTTTTTATAATGTTTCACAACAAATGTTTACCAAGGCACCAAAGCATGAGTATAATTAGCAATAGTCTATGTACTATAAAGCACACAAAAGCAATGAACTGGACCCAAATACACAGAAAAATACAACTTAAAGATTAGAATTTGGGGCAGGGAGATGGGAATTTTTGAAGAAACTGATAAAGAAGCTTTGTAAATAAGACACTTACCTTTCTCTTGACATCAAAGCCAAGTCTAAATAACAGAGACCAATAAAAACTCATTTCTAAAATGTAGTACCAGTACTGGGATAGCAGCAGGGGCTGAGAAAAAGAAGAGTATTCATTACTTTAAATGCCATCATAGAAGCAACTCATTTTGATGCACTAACACCTACTTTTATACCTATTTATATCCCACCAGATTCCATAAAATAACATAGATTTATATTTCAATTTATATTTCAACAAAGGAATTAAAGATAATATTTCAAGGCATTTTATTTCTAAAAGGGTAGATGAGTATTCCAAAACCAAGTTGAATGTTTTGTTTACAAAATTAAATACAACTGCCACAGGTGTAAGTGCCTTCAGTTTATTCAGAGTTAAGTTTAAATTTTTTAAAAAATTAAAAATCTTAGGAACAATGGGAAATCTTTTCTGCCGGTCCCATAATTTACTTTGATTAATGTTTCTTGAATATTACTCAAAATCTGATGTCTTAATCTCTTTTCTGGTGATAGGCTGGTGGTTAGAATTAGCCCATTCTAAAATGGGACAGTAATAAAATATGCATAGTTGTTTAAGAACTCTAAAAACATCTTCTGAATAAAATAATATACTTTTGATAGCTAGAATTTTCTTAACAATTTTATAATGGGAGTGGTGGTGTTTATTTTAGCTAAGTGGAGACATTATATGACTTGGTGTGCCCAGTGAATGCTGCCTTCTGATATCTAAGCCCTTGTGCAGTCTCCTCCAACACTGACTATGGACTTGATCCCGGTCTGTGGCCAAGGAGACATAAGCAAATGTGACGCATGCGGAGACTTTATAAACACCACATAAGAAAGCTGAGCCATCCTGCTGAAGGGGCCACAAAGAAGAGAATCAAGGTGCTGACTGCCAACGCTATGGATGACGTCACCATAGACTCGAGCCATTCCCTAGCCAGCCTCCCAATTGTCTGAAAATGCATGAATGAACTCAGTTGAAACCACATGGAGTAGAAACACTGCCTAGCTGAGCCTAGCCTAAATTGACAACCAAATCAAGAGAAAATAAATGGTTGTTGTTTGAAGGCATTAAGTTTTGGGGATGGTTTGTTATGTACCAACAGATAACTGATACACCTGAGAAGATATGAATAAGTTGGAGACAGAAGATGGCTGTTTGCTATACAAACTTCCTTGAAAAGATCATCTAGGCCGGGCGCGGTGGCTCAAGCCTGTAATCCCAGCACTTTGGGAGGCCGAGACGGGCGGATCACGAGGTCAGGAGATCGAGACCATCCTGGCTAACACGGTGAAACCCCGTCTCTACTAAAAATACAAAAAACTAGCCGGGCGAGGTGGCGGGCGCCTGTAGTCCCAGCTACTCCGGAGGCTGAGGCAGGAGAATGGCGTAAACCCGGGAGGCGGAGCTTGCAGTGAGCTGAGATCCGGCCACTGCAGTCCAGCCTGGGCTACAGAGCAAGACTCCGTCTCAAAAAAAAAAAAAAAAAAAAAAAAAAAAGAAAAGATCATCTAAAACAAAAAGCAGTCAGTGCTTGAATTCACAGGGCATGCAAGAGACTTGTGTAGAATTGTCTCTCAACAGACTGAAGCACAGAGAGGCAAGAGAACGGAGAATATTTTTTAAAGCAAAAGAGACATTTGGGACCTAGTATAAAGGTCTAGCATATTAGCACATTTATAACTGGAATTTCAGAGGAGTCTGGAGAGAGAATGGAACAGAAGCAATGGCTAAGAATTTTCCAAAACTGACTGAAGACATCGAGTCACAGATTCAACATGTTCTACAGACATTAGGCAGGATAATTTCAAAGACAAGCACATTTATGTATATCACAATAAAACTGAAAGACAAGACAAAATTTTAAAATTGACCAAAAAGAGAAAAAAGATATTATGTTCAGAGAAGCAAAACTAAAAGTGACAGCTGAATTCTTATAGAACTGATGAGATCTAGAAGACAATGAAATAAGATCATTAAAAGTGAAGGAAAATAACTGCTAATCCAGAATTCTATACCCAGCAAAAATATCCTTTTAAAAATCAAAGGCAATATAACATTTTTCTGACAAACAAAATCTGGCATACCCACCATAAAAAAAAATAGCAAAGGTACTCCTTCAGCCAGGAGGATAATAATCCCAGATGGAAACATGGAAATACAGGAAGCAAGGAATAGCACAAAAAGGGTAACTTGACAGATTTACAAAACAATAATAGCAATGACTTGTAAGGTTTTAAATATTTGAAGGAGGAGGGTATATGGTGTATTCTAATTACCTTTCAGTAAGTGGAAAGAGGTAAGAACACCGATTTGCATCAGACTGTAATAAGTCAAGGACATATACAGTAATGTCTGAGATAATTACTAGAAGAACGAAAGCATGTGTAACTGAAAAGTCAATATAAGGGATGAAAAAGAATAGTATTTTTTTAACTACTTGACTGTCCCATAGAAAAGCAAGAAGGGAATACAAAAAAAAAATGCATCAGATGGTACAAGTAAAAAATAAATAGTAAGACACTAGATTTAAACCCAAATATGTAATTACATTAACTGTAAACAAACTAAAGGAATGAGACAAATGAGGGTCAATAAGGATGAGGAAGCTCAAGTAGAAAAAGTGCCAGGGATGACATAGTAGTGAACAAAGAGTAGCAGGGGACCAAGACCTAACTAAGGAGATAATTTGAGGGACCTCGGTGTTTAATTAAGGGGAGGAATACGTTAGAAGGGACTTACCTGTTTGGGATAGCCATTCCAAACCTCCCATAGGTCATACAGCCAAGGTTTCTGAAAGAAGAAGAAAAAAGAAGAACCAACAGATGAGAAATAAACTTGTCAGTGTCAAAGGCCAATTTTGGCAGAAAACCTAAGCTCTTCCTTATGTCATTTATACCAGGCAAAGACGCACAGGAAATCGCCCTTTGCCATATTCTTTTGCTTCTATTGCATGCATTTCTCCCTCTGTAGGGTATTTCTTACATATTCCTATATAACACCTCTGTGAAATTCACTACTAGTGAATCTAAGATAAGTAAATAGTGCTGTCTCATAGAGGAAATTGTTTCAAACAAGTAACTGTATGAACCAAATTATTTCTAAACCAATTATGTTATTGCTTCTGTAGCAATAAAAAAAACTTGAGATATCTGTAGCAATATTTGAGACAAATCTTGAATCTTGAGAGTAATTGCTAAAACTGGTTATCTTATTGAAAGTACTATACCGTAAAGGAATTCACAGACAAGAATTTCAAAAATTAAAGACAAATTCCAATCAAAAATATAAAAAGATAACTTACATCATAAAGAAATGCAACTCCAGCAACAGTGATCACTAAGTAAAATGCAAATCTCCAGCTGCCAAAAGAAAGAAAAATCTTTACTCCCTTGTAAAGGTAACTGAGATTTGAGGAGAAAATGATGAGGTATGGCAGAGTTTACAAAGAACACACATTCTGGAGTCAGACAAACCAAAGTTTCTATCCTGGCTCTGCCCTACTTATTAGATGGCTACAACCTTAGGTAAATCATTTAACCTCAGAAAGCCTGACTTCCTTATCTGTAAAATGAAAATGACAATACTACCTCAAAATGTGAAAAGAACTGAAAATCTGTGGTAACAGGTCTAGCATAAAGTAAGCAACAATAAATGGTAGCCATTATTCTTATTATAATGGCTAGCCCCGTTCCAGGCACACAACAAACAGTGGATTTATATTAGCATTATCAAGAAGGAACCTAGTTAGTCTAATTATTTCTCTTATCACCATTTAATTCCCAGTTAAAAGTTTTTATGTGGCCAGACTTTACTCTTTTCTCCTAAAAGCAGGGTTTTGAAAGAAAAGATTTTCCTCATGTATGGAGAAAGACCTGTAGACTAAGAGACTGGAAAGACACATCAAACAATTGTAAAGAATGGATCTTATTGAGATCCTGATTCAAATCAAGAAACTATAAAGAAAATTATGAGACCATCAGGAAAATCTAAACACTGAATATTTGCTATTATTAAGTAAAAATCTTTTATTAAATAAAAAAATCATAGGATACTGATATTGCAATTATGCTGAAAATAAAGAGTTCTTATCTTTTCGAGATACATGCTAAAATACTTACAAATGAAGTAACAGTGTCTGATATTTGCTTCCACACCTATCTGCGGTGGGGGAGAGGGGTAGTGGGGATAGAGAGGACATAGGATTGGCCTTGAGTTGATCAACTAAAGCTGGTGATGAGTAATAACACACTTAATTTATAATGCAGTCTTTCTACCTTAATATATGCTTGCAATGTTCCAAATAAAAAGTTTTTAAAAATTATGTCTATTTTATCTAATGATTGCTGGAGAAATAATAATATTAAAATAATATATTTTCTTATCTTTGTGTAAGGTCTTACAGTGCTTTCCTTGACATACCTGTAAGATAGGTAGGACATAGGAACATAGATATATACCCATTTTGTAAATGTAAAATCAGACTCAGAAAAACAAGGCCATCTCCCCAGCTCATGTAGCTAACAAGGAGGAAAGCTGCAACTTGAAGTGCAGGTCTTTGGACTCTGCACCGAGGAGTGTTTCCCAAACCTTATCATTTCCCCGAAGCTAGACGACAGTCTTTCTTCATGGCTTGTTTTGATAGGAGAAAAAAGTAGGGTTCAATACTCAAAAAGTTGAACCATAGAAATATCCAAAAGACATTTTACAAAATGAAAGTTGAGACTTTACCGCACTCATTTTATTTGCTGAGAACATTTCCTTGGCTCCTTGGATTATCTTGTCCAAACAAAATCTACAAAATATAGGAGACGATAAGGCCAGCCAACCCACAAATGAGGCCAAAAGTGTGGGTGCTCTCCTTGTGTTTATTTCCCAAGCATTTATTGATTTCTCAACTCCGTCAGCCATGGGGCTAAGCACACATGTGCTATCACATTTTTTTTTTAAAAGAGCATGAAGCCGATGCTATAATTAGCCCCTTCCTACAGACTGCTGCTAACAGTCAGTTTCCTAAAGGAAATCGAACCTAAGAGAGATCACAAAACTTGCCCGAGTTTGGGGAATAATACTCAGATCCACGAATACAGCCAAGTCTCATATGTTTCTGGACATATCCTACTCAGAGAAGCCCTAAACCAGGGATTCTCAAAGTGTGTGCCAGGGAACCCTGAAGTCAGAATATTTTCATAATAATACTAATACAGTATTTGCTTTTCTTCTTCTCATTCTCTCACAAGCGAGGTCATGTGACATGTGATCACAGTACTGCTCTGAATGAAATTGCACTGATGAAATATGCACTTGTGTAGTCTCCTGTTTTATAAATACCTCAGTTTTAACTTCGAATACAGTAAATATCAATAGGTATAAGACACACAAATGTTCTTTGGGATTTTCAAGAGTTTTTAAGAGACCAAGGGGTCCTGACACCAAAAAGTTTGAGAATTGCTGCACTTCACTGAAAAGATGAATGATAATGTCCTTTGTCAAGGTCATTTCACTAGTTTTAAATGAACCTAAGAGAGTAAAACTTTTATTTTTTTCCAGGAAAGAATGAGATAAACATAAACATGGGAGGGGAGAAAACCCACTGAAAAACTATTCAGAAACAAATTGGTTGGGCAACGATGGTGACAGTGAAAGGAGAGACTGCATGGTGCAACCAGGGCGGAATGGGCAGAGTGGTGAGAGGCACTACTGGGGCCAGACAGGAGGCCCGCGGTGGGGTTGCTGCATAGAGTGGACTGTGGACTGGACGGGACAGATGAGGGTGAGGGCGCATCCACCCAGCCAGGGAGAGCCCTCTTACCCACACTGAGGAGTTCTCCTACCTGGATACCTAAGAACTTGAAGGTCCTTCTTATTGCTAGGTGGAAATGTGTATTTTAAAATGAAAAAGTGGTCAGCTAATGTGGAATTTGATTTTTTTTTTTAAAAAAAGGACCCATTATGTATTAAAATCCTGAATGCTATGGAATAGGGCACAAGGGTCACCATGAAAGAAAGTAACCAAGGAACCAATACGCTGAACTCATGGTGTCTGGGGGCTCATCCATCTGGACGTTACAGAGGAATTTTTGCCTGTTGGAAAGTAATCTTAGGAGCTGGTGTTAAGGAATAAGTGCCCGGAGATTTTCAAAAGTTTTGAGTTTAGGTACCTCATGCTATAACTTCTGTAGCACATCCCACAGCTGATTTTTAAAAAGCAGAGCCCCTGTACAATTAAACAGCGTGGCACTAGGTTTAGTCTGTTTATCTAGTCCATAAAAACTTTTAACTTAGAATAAACATGTGACATTGCTAAAGAATAAGATAAAGCTTAAATTTTATTCATGGGCCCACTTACTGTGTCCTGAATATATTGCATAATTTCCTGCTTTGTGTCTTTGCCTTACTTGAAAATACTGCCTCAAACCCTGCTTTCTTTTCTTATTGCAATCTGACCCATTCTTCAAGGTCCAACCTATGTCTTCCCTTCTCTAGAAAGCCTTTCTTTAACTTCTCCAGCCATGCTGATGCCATCACCTCTAAATTCCCACAACACATCTCAACATCATGTTGTATCTCCTGGTGTACACTCCCATGTGCCACTGGGGTGGCGTGACAATAGATGCTATGGTTTTGTGTGTGATAATCTGGCCTCTCTAATTCGCTGTTTAAGGCCGGAAACCATGACTCACACGTTACTCCTCTCTTAAAATCTAGAACGCCACAAAATCTAAGACAGTGCTATGCACAGAAAATATACTAGCCTTTATCTCTGCACTGCCTGACTGATTGATAAGAGTAACTCAAAATTCCCTTCTCCAGCCTGAACTCTGGAATAATTTTAGTAGGCTTACTGACATGGCCAGATACCCACGTATTACTCAATTTAATGATCCTCTGCTTGCTGGGAGGTAAGCATTAGGTGTCAGGGGCAGTATGATAGAACAAGAAATAGTATCAGAATAGGAGTCAGAAGATCTGAATGCAACAGCCATTGAAACACCTAAGAGACCCTTAAACTAGATGGATGTGCAGTTTCTCATTGAAACAGGGTGGCCCCACCTTCCCTGACTATGTCATATCATTGGCAGAAGGATCAAGCAATTATTACTATTATTAGTAGTATTATTCTGAGACGGAGTCTCGCTCTGTCGCCCAGGCTGGAGTGCAGTGCTGTGACCTTGGCTTACCGCAAGCTCCGCCTCCCGGGTTCACGCCATTCTCCTGCCTCAGCCTCCTCCCGAGTAGCTGGGACTACAGGCGCCTGCCACATGCCCAGCTAATTTTTTGTGTTTTTAGTAGAGATGGGGTTTCACCGTGGTCTCAATCTCCTGACCTTGTGATCCGCCTGCCTTGGCCTCCCAAAGTGCTGGGATTACAGGCATAAGCCACCGCGCCCAGATGGATCAAACAATTATAACCTGTAAGGCACTATAACGTATTTTAAAAAATGCCAGAGAATTTTATTAAAATATGATTCAGCTCAGAGGTGGAGAATTAGTCCCTGTTTGGGGTCTTTATTTAAGAATCATCTGTTAGCAAGAATGAATGATTGAGAGCAAGAAAAAGGATGATATAATGTAAGATCAGCTCCATTTTGTACTGTTTTGTGCTGATGGTTAGAAAGGTATACTTCTGCCAAGCTGACCTCAGCAGCAACTATATATTATATTTACCAAACTTTCAAGACCTAAAAACCAGACAGATGCTGGTTAGAAAACAAACAAGGTCATACACCACAAGCTGCTATGAGAAAGGCAATGGAAGCCTATGGTGAGAAGTGTTTGGAGACATCCTGAAGAATGGGTCTATCTCTTTAAACATCACCCAGTTTCACAACTGGATTATATGATATGGTGGCCGGGCGCGGTGGCTCACGCCTGTAATCCAGCACTTTGGGAGGCTGAGGCGGGTGGATCACGAGGTCAGGAGATCGAGACCATCCTGGCTAACATGGTGAAACCCTGTCTCTACTAAAAATACAAAAAATTAGCCAGGCATGGTGGTGGGCGCCTGCAGTACCAGCTACTTGGGAGGCTGAGGCAGGAGAATGGCGTGAACCCAGGAGGTGGAGGTTGTGGTGAGCCAAGATCGCACCACTGCACTCCAGTCTGGGAGACACAGCAAGACTCCGTCTCAAAAAAAGAAAAAAGATAAAAGAAAAAAAATAAATAAAGGAAGTTATTAAAGTTTAGCCTTCTACAGCCTCTGCTTATTTGGGAGTCTTACATCAGCTCCCTTATTCATTTCACCTTTAAAACAAAAATATCTCATGGAAGTCACTGAGCAATGTGAGGGAGGGCCTTAAGAATCACGCAGGAAGATGGAACACTGCTGGTGCATAGAATGTGGCATTGAACACAACCCAACTCATACACATTTGTCTGGATACAAAGAAGGGGAAACAAAGTGAGAGCAATGACCTGGTTCACCATTTTTTGCACAAGTGTCAGTTTCTGCCACAAGAGAGTGACCTAAAGTACTATGATATCCTATAGGAGGGGGAAAAAAAAGAAAAGCAGAACTGAAATGAAACTAAAAATAAATCCAGTGTAGTCTCCCTGCCCTCAGAATGGACTCCAAGTAGCCAGCTCTGGTAAGACCCCACTTGATGCCCCAGCCCACCCTGATCCTCCTGCCAAGCCTCCTGAGAAACCAAGAAGATGGGCTGTGCACCCCGCTGGAGGACTGAGGTCATGAGCCACGCCACACAGAGAGGCCTTCTCAGTGTTCTGAGAGGGAACACACATCCTCACAGACATTCTCTGCTCTTACAATTATGATGGTTGGACCCAGGTGACAACGTCTGGTGACCTAGGGCCAACCCTGACCCTAAGAAAAGAGAAACACCAGTTAAGACATTTTTATGATTTTTTCTGTGCTTCAGGCCGAGTACATAACGTCTCCTGTTCATCTTAGAGAGTTCATAGTGTGGGAGTCTGTCTGAACCTATTCTGGTTCGGGGGGGCTGGATAAATAGAATTCAGAGCTTACTCGATTTATAAAGGAGTGGAGGAAGCAGGGAAGGGAAATGTGTGAGGAGCCTAAAACACCACATTGGTGGGTGACAGAGATGGGTCTGAACCCTCCCTCTGCTGCCCTGGCAGTATTCTCTCTGCAAGGACCACTCTGCTCCAGATAGGACGGCAGCATTCCTAAAGCTCAGTCCATCCTCCTTACCAAGCTTCCTGGAATTTCTTCATCCTGGAAGGCCTCTCTTGATTCCGCCGACTCCTAAACCATCTTTCCACCTGGCGCTCCGTCAAGTTACACTTCTTTGCCAGTCCATAAATATCAGTCTGAAAAGGGATGAAACAAATAAATGAGTGATAAAGAACAGAGTCAGACTGGCAGGCAGACGAGACAGGGAGATTGAGTTACAAGAGCTTCAGTCCTGGGGATGAGAAAAATTCTGTCATGAGACCTGGAGCCAGGGAATTTACCTCTTTTGCTTATGGAATCACACACACACACACCCCAAAAAACAAAATGTTACTATCCTAGCTCTCTAAGTTACTAAGAAAGATCAATTCTCCATAAGTTGGCAGCAACCCATGCGTTCAAGTTGCATGTGTGAGCTCACTTGTTCAGCTAAAATGTGCTTAGGACTTCCTAGGCACCAGGTAGAGCAGTATAGTTTAAATCAAATCCAATAAAATCCAATCTCCTCATTTTTCCTATGAGGAACTGAAACCCCAAGAAGTTTAATGACTTGTCCAAAAACCTAAAATTAGTAGCAAAGTGTGGACAAGAACTTAGGCTAGTGCATTTTGTTATTTCACATGATCTTTCTGACAGCTCCCAAAGATAATGCAGGAAAAACTCAAACAGGTGTTAGCCATCTACTTTTACATTTAATTATATAGAGAGCCTATTTCAAAATAATCCAAAATAATTTCAAGAACAAAAATAACAATTGCAATATATGATGATGAAGATGATGATGATGATGATGATTGCTTCTCTTTTGGGAAGTAGAAGTTGTAGGCTATGATTTAAAATTGGAAACAATATGAATGATAGATTCTCTCAAAGGTTAACAATTCAAAGATCTACCCAAGCCAGACAAGAAACATAAATGACCAAATGGACCAGGTCTGTTTCACAGTGGGATTTTAACATAGGAATGTTTTGTACTTTAAACCTATGGTAAACTTCTGCACATCCACAAAGAAATATGCTCATGAAAAATGTCATCCCTCTTGATTTTTTATTTCCCGAGTAAATATAAGAAATATTTCTGGCCTGGCATGGTGGCTCATGCCTATAATCCCAGCATTTTGGGAGGCCGAGACAGGCGGATCACCTGAGGTCAGTAGTTCGAAACCCGCCTGGCCAATATGGTGAAACTCCATCTCTACTAAAAATACAAAACTTAGCCGGGCGTGATGGTGGGCTCCTGTAATCCCAGCTACTTGAGAGGCTGAGGGAGGAGAATTGCTGGAAACTTGGGGGCAGAGGCTGTAGTGAACCGAGATCGTGGCGCTGTCCTCCAGCCTGGGTGACAGAGCAGGACTCCATCTCAAAATAAATAAATAAATAAAATAAACATTTACATTTCCTCTTAATTCTATTTTGTGAAAAATAAAATGGCATAAAACTGACCCTCAGCTTCAATGCTGAGGAAAGAAGTGGGAGCTGTATGGATACAGCAGGCAGAAAAGCACATATCATGTTCCAAAAGGCCAGGTATGACCGAGATCTGGCTGACACTTCCAGAGAAAATGTGCAGACCCAGGATTTTGATGGGAAATCACTAGGTTTTAAAAAATGTTAACCAATCCCTCAAGGTAAATTTAAACCAATTATGGATGAATATCGTGAGGGCGAAATAAAGCCTGCCTGTGGGCCAGACGGCTGAATACCCAAAAGTCGTGACCAGCCGGATAGCTTCTGCTAGATTATCTCATATGTTCCCTCTCAGGAAGGAAAGAACACTGCAGTGTCAAAGCAATTGGATATGGTAGGAAGGGTAGGAAGCTGAAAACAGAAGATCCAGTTCTGCTACCTCCTAGCTATGTAGGCATAAGCACCGCACTTTGACCGCCGTGGAAAATGGGATATTAAGAGAATGTTTGCTACCCATCTCAGAGGGATGATTTGAGGACCAAGGGACTGGAATACGCTAATGAAACTAGTAAGTGCTGTGCCAATGCTAGAGATTTTTATAAACAAACACAGAAAGGAAACCATGGACTACGAAAGTATTTCTTTACTTTTAACATAATTTGCAAACATGAACAGACCCCCCAAAATGGAGAATACAATTCAAATTCTGTTGGTTGGTGCACAACAGGACATATTCGGGCATGCTGCTGCACTATACTCTATGTGCTCAGATGGAAGGGGCTCTGGGCCTAGCTTTACTATTTGAAGTGTTTTAGTCATTCATTCCTTTGAAAGGATTTAAAGAGTCTCTATGCACTGGTGCCAGGCACCATCTATGCATGGGAGATTCAGTAGTGAGCAAAGCAAACTAAAGTCCTTGTCTTTATTCTGGAATGTTCTCAGATCTTAGAACAATCTAATTTTATTATCCCATGACTTCTACAAATAATTGCCTAATGAATTATTAGTAAACATATATAGAAGACAGTAACTGTTTATGATGTGAAGCTTTTTTTTTCTATTTTGGAGTACAGAAGAATCTATACTATATATAATATGTATAATATGTATATATAGTGTATTATACATACGTATATATGTATGTTATACATATGTATATTATTTATAGTGTGTATATATATAGTATGACACTGGCCAGGTTAATGTGGGAGGTATGGTAAGATGAGTAAGGTATGGTAAGCTGGAGTGCGGTGGCGTGATCTTGGCTCACTGCAACCTCTGACTCCCTGGTTCAAGCTATCGTTCTGCCTCAGCCTCCCAAGAGGCTGGGATTACAGGTACTCACAGCCACGCCCAGATAATTTTTGTATTTTTAGTAAAGACAGGGTTTCACCATGTTGGCCAGCATCTTGATCTCCTGACCTCATGACCCACCCACCTCGGCCTCCCAAAGTGCTGGGATTATAGGCGTGAGTCACTGTACCTGGTCACTTTTTTTTTCCTCTTACTTGATGCAAATGTCAAAATTCTGTCTGTATTAAACCATACTGTAATGTCAGTTGAGTTAGAATAATTACTATAAACACAGAGCCAGCCTTTAAAATATATTTTTAACATTCCAGTTACAGATAAAGAACTCACTGGAGCATGGTGGAAAGGTTACTAGACTGGAAGTATGGGCCAGGTTCTAGCTTTTGATTCAGCCACTCATTAGCTTCATGACCACTCAATTCCCTTTGGCTGGGCCTTAAGTTTCCTCATCTTAATCATGAAAGAGAAAGACCACCACCCTATAAACCTTTTCAGCTATCTTTAGTTTTCCTTTGTCATATGGTCATTTTTTCTCCATAGCAGAGAAGCTTGGTAAGGACCAAATTTTCTAGATAATTTTAAATATCCTGAAAAGCTGACTAGAAGCTCTTAGCAATAGCAAATATAGCAACTAATTGGTATTATACTACTGTTCTTCCCATTTTATATAAAGTATTACTAAAGCTAGTTGTTCCCAAAGAAGGATAATAAGGGTTCCAGAAAGAGCCCTATTTTTTTTTTAACACAGCTAAATAACTTCCCATTTGAAACATATAAAGGGATGCTTAGGTATTATTATCACCAGTAGTAACAAAGGGATTTAGATGAATGATGTCAGTCATTTAAAGCACATGGGAATAAAAAATATATAAAGATGGCTTGTCAGGCTATCCCTAGGTTACAAAAGCAGTCAAATACAGGAGCTGAGGGCAGAACAAGTTAGAGCCAACTCTCACTTCCTATGAGCAATTCTGGACACTATATCTCATGCGAGGTGGTCAAACCTCAAAGTGCTTTCATGTGCAGAGAAACCACAAGAACAAATTAGAGCAATTGTCATAGTAGAGGCAACTTAATTCAGCAAATAAAGTTCAGGACCCTCAAAAATCTATTTATCCTAGAACTGTGTTAGTATATGTACTTGATTTTTTAAATTACTGGGGATCGCTGTTTGTATTCATCATAGAGGTTGTATCACTTTTGGAGAAGTTTTGTTTCATCTGTCATTTTAACTATGGAAATATAATAAAACTGGAGTGAACACGAGACTTACTTGGACTTTTTTTTAACTATTAAAAACTTTTTTCTTTTTCTTCATGTATTTAAGTATGCAGTGTACTACAACATAAATGAAGGAAACTTTATATTGTGAAGAGAACTGTGACTTTCTCAGAAATTCTCTCTGGAGAGTAGTCAGGGGAACAGCATATTTCTGAGTATGTTGAGGCTTTGAGTAAAATAACAGTCCTACTCGTGAAAGCGACCCCAATGAGGATTTTCATAATGCGTGTAATGTATTTTGATGATGCCACAGTCATCAAAAGTGTCAGATATGGGCTTCTCTGCCCAAGCAATTTTCTTTCTTCATCTGTATACTTTGTATATATTCTACCATTAAAAATTAAATTTTGACCTTTATGCCCAAATTATGGCACTGATCATTAGTGCTCAACACGATAGTTAAATATAATAGTTCAACTGTTAACATTTGTTATTTTATATTAGCATATGTATCATACTTGGGATGTTCTAAACCTGTCAACAGAACAAAGAAATAATAAATCCAAATTAATCCAAATCATTTGCTGGTCAACTGGAATAGATTTTTGCACACACAAGCTATAGATAACTGAACCATTAAGAAAGAAGATTTTTAAATTGAAAAGCAAAGAATTTGTACTTACTTGCATTGGTTGCCTTGTGGAATGTTTGAAAAAATTCTCTAAGACAGTATTTGGTGTAACTTTTCGAACTGTCTCTTTAATGCCAAACGATTTTGCTAGAGGTGAAGCAACAAATCTACAAAAATACGAAAAGAAAGAAGTTCAAAATCTAAGAATAAATCCACAATGACACCAGAAAATTAAAGCTATAACTTTAGGTTTCTAATGAAATCAATCATTCGTTTATGTTGGCACTGGGGCTACCTATAGTCAAAATCTGTCTCTCGACACAGAAAAGTTTCAGGCCATACATACAAGCAATAATTAAAAAAAAAAACAACATTTGCACAATTCTAAAATTCATTTTATGTTAATCCAAATATATTTAGAGATAATATTTAGGAAATAGAATAAGCTGTTCTACTTAGAATTTTAAAGACTCCCAGGGATTGAAATAAATAGGAATTCTGTTAGAAAATGTTTTATTTGGTGTTATTATCTTAAAGAAATTACTACCTTCCGATTTCAAGTTCTAACATAAGAAAAAATGGCAGAACTCTAGGGCAAATACTTAACAATAGGATTGATGGGTGATATGGCAAGTATACATTTAACTTTATAAAAAACTAGCAAGTTGTTTTTCAAAGTAGTTGTACTATATTGCATTCCCACCAATAACTTGTCAGAGTTCCAGTTAGCCCATATCCCTGCCAACACATGATACTGTCAGCCTTGGCAGTTCTACTGGTGTGTAGTGGCTTTTTGTTGATTTTCCATTATAATCTTTATTATTTCCAATCTTCTACTTGCTTTAAATTTAGATTGATTTTATTTTTTCTAGTCTGTTAAGGTGGAAGTTTACATTATTGATTTGAGGTCTTTCTTCTTTTTAAATATAGGTGTTTGCAGCTATAAGTTTCCCTTCAAACACTGCTATTGCTGCGTTCCATTAAGTTAGTATGGCATTTTCTTTTTCATTCATCTCAAGTATTTGCTAATTTACCTTGTGATTTCTTCCCTGACTGGTTGGTTATTTAGAAACATGTTATCTAGTTTACATGTATTTGCTAATTTCTTGATTTCCTTCTGTTCTTGATTTCTTTTTTTAAGAAATGAGGGTCTCGCTATGTTGCCCAGGCTGGTCTCCAACTTCTAGCCTCAAGTGATCCTCTTGTTTCAGCCACCCAAAGTGTTGGAATTACAGGCATGAGCCACTGTGCCTGGCTGTTATTGATTTCTAATTTCACTTCATTGTGGTTGGAAAACATAATTTCTATTTAAATCCTTTCACATTTATTGAGACTTGTTTTATAGCCTAATATGTGATCTATTCTGGAGAATGTTCTTTGTGCATGTGAGAAGAATGTGTATTCTGCTGTTGTTGAGTAGAGTGTTCTATAGATGTTTGGTAGGTCTAGTTGGTTTACAATATTGTTCAAGTCTTCTATTTACCTGTTGATAATCTGCCTAGCTGTTCTATCAATTATTGAAAGTGAATATTGAAGTTTACAACTATTATTGTTGACTTGCCTGATTTCCCTTTAATTCTGTCAGTTTTTACTTCACGTATTTTGGAATTCTGTTGCTAAGTATGTATATGTTTATAATTGTTATATCATCTGGACAGATTTACCCTTTTATTATTATAAAATGTCCTTTGTAGTAACAATTTTGAAATCCATTAAATTACATTTTGTATGATATTAGTACAGCTACTCCAGTCCTCTTTTGGTTACTTTTTGCATGGTATCTTTTTCCATCCTTTTACAATCAACTTATTTGTGTCTTTAAACATAACAGGTGTCTTTTGTGGACAACATATAGTTGGATCGTGTTTTCCTAACTATTTTATCTATGCCTTTAATTAAAGTGTTTATTCCATTTACATTTAAAGTAATTACTAACAAAACAGGATTTATATCTGCCATTTTGCTGTTTGTTTTCTATATATCTTATGCCCTTTTGTTTATTTGTCCATCACTACCTTATTTTGTGTTAAACAGATATTTTCTCATGTACCATTTTAACTTTCTTTTCTTTTTGGTTTTTTACTATTTTAAAAGTTATTTTCTTAGTGACTGACTTGGGTATTATAATTAACATATTAATTTATAACATCCTAGTTCCGATTAATATCAAATTAATTTCAATAGGGTTAAAAAACTCCATTCCCCTCCCCCTCCTTTGTGCTCTTGTCTCACAAATTACATCTTTATAAACCGTGTTCTGATCAACACAGATTTAGATTATTGTTTTATGCAATTGCCTTTTAAATCAGATAGGAGAAAAAGTGTTACAAACAAAAAATATGGTTACACTATCATTTTATTTTCTTATGTAGTTACCTTTACTGGTGCTATTTCTTCATGTGGATTTGAGTTACTGTCTTGTGAACTCTCATTTCAGTCTGAAGGACTTCCTTTCAAACTTTTTCTATGCTAGGCCTGCTAGTAATGAATTCTCTTGGTTTTTGTTTATTTGAGAATGCCTTAATTTATCTTTCATTTTGAAGGAGAGTTTTGTTTGGTTCACAGTGTTTTTCTTTCATCACTTTTTATGTGGCATTCCACTGCCTTTGGCCTACATAGATGCTGATGAGAAATCAATTCCTAATCATAATGAGAATTCCTTGTATGTGATGAGTTGCTCCACTCTTGTTGCCTTCAAGATTCTTTCTTTTTGGCTTTTGACAATTTGATTATGACATATGTAGGTGTAGTTCTCTTTAAATTTATCATACTTGGAGTTTGCTGAGCTTTTTGGATATACAGATTCAGAATTCAGGGAAATTTTTGGCCATTTATTTCTTCACATTTTTGGGGTCCTGTTTATTTTCTTCTCTCCTTCTGGAATTCCCATTATGTGTATGTTGGTATTCAAGTCTCTAAGACTATTTTTCTTCATTCTCTTTTATTTTGCTGTTTCTCACACTGCTGACTCTTTCTTATGCCTGCTCAAACACGCTATTGAGCCTCTCTCATGAAATTTTGATTTCAGTCGTTGTTTTTAACCCTAGAACTTCTATTTGGTTCCTTGTTATAAATTATAGTTTTCATCACTTTATTGATGTTCTTGATTTGGTAAGACATTGTTTTCATGCTTTCCTTTAGTTCTTAAGCATGTTTTTCTGTAGTTCTTTGAACATATTTAAAGTAGTTGACGTAAAGTTTTTGTCTAATAAGTCCACTATCTAGGTTTTCTCAGAAACACTTGCAATAATTGCTGTATTTCCTGTGTATAGTCCATACTTCTTTGTTTCTTTGCATGTGTCATAAGTTTTTGTTGAAAATTGGACATGTTAAATACTATAATGTGGCAACTATAAAAATCAGATTATTTCTCCACCCCAAAGTTTGTTGTTTTTGCTATTTGTCGTTGTCCATTTGTTTGCTTAGTCACTTTTTTGAATTAACCTATAAAGTCTTATTTGTGATGTGTGAGCACTGAAGGCTTTATTAGGTTAGCTTGGTAATCAGCTAATGATTAGACAGAGATTTCCTTAAATGCTTGGAACCAATAAGCCTCTCAGTCTTTCCTGAGGAGCTCTGTGCATATGTTGGGGCACACCTTCAACATTTAACTAGGCAGTAAGCAACTCTGCCTTAGCCTTCACTTACTGTTTGCACAGAGCCTAAAGGTCATTCAGAGGTGACAGCTTATGGCCTTCCCAGGTCTTTCCTGAGCATGCAGATAGCCATAAACATGCACTAACCCTCACACATAAAAGGGGCCTTCTAGATTTCCAAGAACATGTCAGAAAGCCTTCTATGCACACCTCATGTTCTAGGTTTTTCTTTTAAGCTTTTTGGTCATTTTATTGTTCGCCCCAATTGTTATACACTGTCTTAGACAGTTATGAAGTTAATCAATTGCCTCTAATTGTTTTAGATAAACAACCTCAGGGAAAAGACTTTTTCACTGGGTGAGCTCTGAGTCAGGTCAGATAAAGACAGCACTGTGAGTAGTGTCTTCCAGAGAACCACCAGACATGTCAGATAATGACAATACTCTGATAATGAGCTTTGAAGGAAATTCTACTCTGTTCTGCTCCTTTCAGTGGCAGCCAGGCTGCTTGTTTCCACTGTAATTGTGGGCCATTGGTTCTTCAAGGCTCTCCTGAGATGGACAGGGCAAGATGGGAAACAGGGCAAGTTAAAAATGTCACACAGCTTGCTATTCCTTCCAAGATTCTGCTGTTTTTCTTAAATAACAGTCCCTAGATCACTATAAGCCTTTGGTTGATTCTCAATTCTGAAAAATAAAACTGACTATGACAATTTTTGCTAGTTTTCTGGTTGCTTTTATGGAAGAAAGAATTTTCAGAGTTTCTTACTCTGACATTTTTGCTAATCCAGTGCATTGTGGTTTTAATTTGTATTTTCCTAATGACTAATAATGTTAAGCATCTTTCCATGTGCTTATTTTCTATTTGTATATCTTCTTTGATGAAGTATTTACTCAAATCTTTTGCCTATTTTTAAAACCAAGTTATTTCTTTTTATTATTGAGTTCTGAGTTCTTTATATATTCTGAATTTAAGTCCTTTATCAGACATATGTTTTACATATAATTTCTCCCAGTCTGTGGCTTGCCTTTCTATTTTATTTACAGAAACATTTCCTAAAAAGATAACTAGTAAGGTATTTTGCATATCATATAATTCAATATTTTCAAGTATACAATTTTTTTTAAATGTATAAAATGACTTCTTAGTAAATTTACTAAGTCGTACAACCATTACTATGAATCAGCCTTAGAACATTTCTATCATTCATGTCTATTGTTAATCTCTGTTTCTTCTTGCACCTGCCCCAGGCAACTACTAATCTATTTTCTGTTTTTATAGCTTTGCCTTTTTGAATATTTAATATACATGAAATTATACAATATGTGGTCACTTGTGTTTGACTTCTTTCACAGAGCTTAATGTTTGTGAGGTTCATCCATGTCATAGCATGTATCTGTAGTGCATTCCTTTTTATTGCAGAACAATATTCCATTGTAGGGATATACACTAACAGTGTCTTGAAGAGCAAATGTTTTAGCTCTTTACCAACAGAAATAAAAGCATATATCCACACAAATTCTTATACTCAAATGTTCATAGTAACTTCATTCATAACAGCCTAAAACTGT